GGGGTGTAGATTTGGGTATACATTGGGCAGGTGCATTTCAAAGATAACTCCTACCGGCTCTTTCCACTGCACATCCAGAAAGAGGCAAAGAATAAGGGAGGAGGCACCAGCAAGAGACTGTCTACTTAATTAAGGAAAATATTCATTATTTCCTGCTTTTGTTGTCTACAGATCTCTTAAAGGTGGATTCTGATGACGGCCTTATAAAAAATCACTTATTCACTTCTTAAAATCCTGAAAGGGACCACACAGCCCCAGGCAAGCGTGTGCTAAAATGAAAACCAGTTGTTTCCTCTGCATGCCAGCTGAGGGTTTGGGTCTTGCTCAGTGTATAGCCTTGAAAAGCACTGGAACAGAGTCTCTGTGACTGCAGTGCAAAGCAAATGATCATTTCCAAATTATTCAGTAACTATATTTGTTAACACCTTGTTTTCATACTCCTACAAAAGAAACTTGTTGTCTTATGAATCTGTTCACTTCTCCCTGGCTCTAAAGCACCAACCATCATCTTCTTTTACTTCATCTGTGCTGAGAGCTTCCTAGATGGTCACCTCCTACTGGCTCTACTCCATTGTCTATAAACAGTCAGAATGATCCTTTAAATTGATCAAATTGTGCTTTTCTTCTTAAAATCCTTTGATCCCTCCCATGGCGCATATGACAGAATCCAGAATCCTTACTATGGCCATATAGGATCTGGTCCTTGGCCTTCCTCTCCTCAGCCTTTTCTCACCTTCTTCCTAATTTACGTGTTCTGGCTTCACTGATCCTTTTAACTTCCGTTTTTTTAAGGCATCAAGCTTTTTTACATCAGGGCTTTTGCATATGGTATTCTTCTCCAGAAATGTTATTCTTCCTTTTATTCCCACTCATCCTTCAAACTTCACATTAAACTTCACTGAATCAATTCATGCCAAGACACTTCTCCCTATGATACACATTACCCCATACTGTTCTTTTACAGTTCTTATTCAACTGTGTTAATATGTATTTATTTGTGAGATTGTTAAGATCTGGGTTCCCCACCAGATGGTGGATTCTGAGAAGGTCCAGATTTTTGCTTCAGCTCTATCCCCTAGTCTTGTCACAGTACCTGAGACATAGGAGATTCCCAGGGTTTCTTGAATAGGTATTTAGGTAATCTAGGTTTAAAGAATGTAATATAACAATTACAAAAAATGTAATCTCCACATGTCAGTTCTTTTATAGTTCAGGATACATAAGGAACACTCAATAAGTATTTGTTGGTAAATTAACCTTTGATATTCTGTATAGGAACAAGGTTATCACATTCAGAGGCAGGCAGAACAAAAGGCAGCTGGATACAGTTATAGTCAATCCTTTTATTTTTGTGGTGAAAATGAAAACTGTCATAGTGAGGATTAGGTACAAAGATTTATAATTACTTTAAATATAGAGACATTCATAAGAAAGAGAAATCAAGACATACTACAGTTGAGTATTTCTGGGCATAGTTGTGTTGTCTGCAGTAAGAGGCTAAGATTGGCTAGAAAGGGCTGTGTACTGAAATCAGACATCTTGGTGGATTTAGCAGACTTGGAAAAAGTCAAGATTAAATATGAGGGGCATGGAAAAAGCCCTATCTAGTGGGCAGAAGATGATATATCATATCTTCAGCAGCAGACCCATTAAACAGCACAGCCCAACAATTATTGGTAGAAGGCCATACGGTTAAATTTTTCTAAGAAATAGGAAGCCAGAGTCTTGACTTAAAAAGTTAAGCTGCATTCCCTAGGGTTCTTATTGACATTTCTGGGCATTTTTGGGTATAGCAGAACTTTTGTTTGTACCAAGGACACAATAACAACCATCAGACCCAGTGGAAAAAGGAAGATGAGGTTTAGAAGTTTGACTGTGGTTTAAGGTCAGTGTTAGCAAGAAGGATGATTAAGCCCCAGACAGCCTCTGTCATTCTGATTGTCCTCTAGTCCAGCTTACTTTAGGGAGCAGGACCTGCAGAAGTGTGGACAGAAACAAAGTATAGGATAGAACACTATTTTGCAGTCTACAAACCAGGTAGGAGATGTACAGGTGGGGGGTTGGGTCTCAGTGTGAGAATTCAGGATGGACACAATACACCAACCTACAGCTGGATCAGAGGGGACTCAGTATGTGACCCCAGGCTACAAAAACATTATAGAAACACCAATACTTTTGGTGAGTGTTGTACCTCTGCTACTTCTTTGCAGGTTTGTAAGAACTTGTAGCAGTTTACTGACCATAGTGACACCATGGAAGACATCACAGTAATAAACCAAAACAGAACAGGAGAAATGCATGTGGAAACAAAGTACTTTTTCATGAATACTCAAGAATATTCTGAAACCCAATTGTGTCAAAAGTGTGACATTTAGAAAAATGAACTCAAATGTATAAAAAATGCACAAAGCACTAGTCTTTCTTTACTATTGCTAGAAAGATATGAATGTTTCTCCATTTACAAAATAGAGTCAGGAGAATTTAAATTTTTAAAATTTTATATGCAAGACACTGTAATTGCTTATTTGTGTATGATGACACACTTACTAGCTTCTATACACAACTGAATATATGATATTGCATGGAAGAAAACAGCAGCTCGGCTGAAGTTTTAGGTAAGAAAATCATATACATGGGTACATATAGATTTAAAAATTATTATTTGGGAAAGAAATCTTTGAATAAAAGGTCTACTTATATGCAGCTTTCACATTCTGCACCTACGGATCACTTCTCTATGTGTAGCTTGGTTTAGAAAGGCACATCCTTACTTTTTAGCATGTGCTTGATATATAGTAGATCCTCATTAAATATTTCTTGGTTAAATAAAAACATGGATAATTACTAATCACAGTGAAGAAATTCTATGTATGTAGGATAATAACACCAACCTGGAACATAGCATGACCTCAAATATTTATTTATATTGTGTCCAGGAAATGGCAGGCAGTCTTGTTTGACTAGTGTTAAGGGTTCGAAGAGAGGTTTTAGCAAATGATTCAATTTGGATGGTGAGCTAAGAAAGTGGGAGGGAGTTGTGTGATGGAAGGGTTTATCTGCAATATGTAATCTTGCAAAGGCAAATATTAACATTTCAAAATCCCGCCTTCCCACCCTACGATGGTTTTAGATTTTTCTTTAACCACACTGTCCAAATGTGTTATAGCAGACTTCAGCAAAGTGTAATTGGTATATTTAGGGGACCTTGGCATAATCAGAATCATGCACTAATGACCCAGGTGAAAACAAAGATCTATTGTGGTGTACTCTGTCAAATAAACAGCTACCTGCTCCCTACTCAAAACAGCTCTGGCTATCCAAAAATCTAATCTCTATAAGCACAATTGAAGATTTCCTATCTTCTTTGGAAAAAGTAAATAATTTATTATCCTCAAAAGGTTTCCTGGATGCTGGGCTAATCCTTTTAAAAGGATACATCTGGATACCCTAACTTCATTACAATTCTAGACTTGAATGCTAGCAGGTATATTTTTTTCTTCCCTAAACTGAGTGGTGCCAGGAAGTCTAGAGACAGCAGTCAGCAAGCCAGGTTCAAATCATTGTTTCTTTGAGGCTATATTTTGGCAGCTGCAGCAACAGCAAGCTCAACCTTCAAGGAGCATAAACTTCTTGTCACCTTTGAGAGACCCTCTATGGTAAAATTGGGATGGGAAGATGATTATTCCAGGAAAAACAGTTGACCACCACCTGCATAAACATTCACCTCACTGGCTTGCCGTGAGAGTTCACTGGGAGGGAATTTGGTAAAACTGAGGAATTGGCAACATGTGGACTCAAGCCACTGCACCCTGTGCATGCCAGAACCACAAAAAATTGCTCTATCTGTCAGAAACTACCAGTGTTACAAAGCTGCTTTATTCCAAACCATTTTGTAAAATCACATCCCACCGACTAACGGGTAGTGATTGTCATAGGATCAGCGTTTTGGTCCTATTTTCACACCACAGGAGACATCTATCCTTTTTACAACATTCTAATCTCTGGCTAGCGTTTAATTATGTTTGCTGCCAAGAACCAGTTAATGAAGGGCTATTTCGTGGCCTTTGGCAGAAACCTCAGACTCAGCAACAGAGGAACTGAAAGCCCTGACCTTAAGGCAATCTCCCCACCAGCCTCCTGCCTACTGCATATTTCAAAGGTTTCCAAGTTTTAAAGCATGGATTACCCTTGCAAGTGAAAAATTGAACAAGCAAAGGCATTTAGTGGCATGTTATTACAGTTCTAATGCTTCTGAAAAGGCTTCTCAATTTAACCAGAAGTAGAATTTCAGATGAAAATAGAAATAATTATCCACTGGTTTTTTCATCAACTTTAGTTTATTCTACACAATTTAAAATATACTATCTATTGATCTCCATCTAGGATTTCTTGACATTATGGCAGGCATAGATCAACCTACTGAAATAATTATGCATATTGATAAAATATTTAATAGCTTCAGGGGGATGCAATATCTATCCACCTCCAAACTATGTTGTTTGTTTCATCTAGCCAGGATTTTGTATGGTACAGTAATTTGAAACTTCAATCAAAAGGTATTCTTTTATTTTGGTTAGAAATTATATTTATTATCCCTTCCCCCCATGTACAGATTACTTCTCAGAAACATAAAGATATTATCCATGTCATCAATTACAGTTTATAGAAAATAACTCATATCCTGTCAACAATATATTTAAAACAGTGGCCATTTTATTTTTCCATGTTAGTTCAAGAATAGTTTTTTTTTTTGATCAATCAAGACAGCCTTTGTTTATAGGTAAAAATTTCCTGACAGAGCCTCTCCCCCAACCCCTAAAACAATTCTATATCCTAAGTGATAAACTTTTCTTGTACATTCAATGAACTTTATATTGAAAAAAGAATAATTGATAGGTATTTACTCTCATGCACAGTAATAAATCTACCTGAGCTTCTATACCCTGCTCTGCAAAAAGGTATTCTTATTCTTTCAAATATTTCAATCTTTTATTTGTGAGAAAGATAATGAAAACAGAAGGTAAATCAGCATTGTCATTACCAGTAGGTAGCATTTAGTCATTGCCTGCCAGCTACACAGTATTTTACAAGATGCCATCCATCAAAATACATTCACTGTACAATTATGACGTACCAGGTGCAACACCAGATGAAAATATTGCAAACACAGTGTATGCCTTCAGACAGTCCAAATCTAGGAAAAGAAACAGATAATCACAATAGTGTGGCAAATATTATGGAATATAATACATTCACTATACTAGATGTATAAATGAGGGAAATAATGAATAAATAAATTAGCATTGATATTTACAGAGCATAAAAATCCACATAGGAGATGGGGAGAATATATAATTTTCAGCAAAAATGGAGAACGGAATATTTTTAAATGGAGAAAGTTTCAAGAGGACCCTAAAGATTAAAACATTTTAGATATAGGATTACAAAAAAATGAGAAGTCTTACATTCAATTTACTTGTGATGTGTTGGTAAAACCAGATAAACATATAGGATAATAAAGAGCTACACTGCATAATACAGGATAAATAACAGGTATGGGAATTAGATTGTTACATAATGATATTATTACTCAAACTTTTATATTCAAGTGTGAGGACATTCTCATTAATTTCTTTCTTTTTATTATAATCAACAACAGTATAAGCCAAGTAAAGGTACTAGAAAATGGTATAAGGCACAATTAGGCCATTTAGTCTGCTCCGGGCCTTGAAAAGTACAATATAATATTCATTTTCACTACAAAGTGAACAAAACCATCATTTGTTACTCCCTCAGAAGGAAGATTAAAAAATTTACACATCAAACAAAACTTTCCGAGGACTTCTATGGACTCAACTCAGTGTCAGAGAAAAGAAAAAAAAATGAAAATGAAAAATGAAGAAATATGGTTCCAAGTCTGGTATACAAATTTGGCCTAAATAGGCCTATGTCATAATCAATCCAGTATTTAGGAAGAATGTTTTAATTTTATTATAGTTTTGTTGTATGACATTGGCTCCCATTGCCTCATAAATTAAACAAGGATAGCGGGGTGGGGATTTAGCTCAGTGGTGCTGCTGCCTGCCTCACAAGCACAAGCTCCTGAGTTCAATCCCTGGTACCAAAAAAAGAAAAGAACCAATAAACAAGGATAATAAGGTAGGCTTACGTTTTTGGTAATAATGCATATTTTCAAATAAAGTAACATTTACTAAATATTTGAAAACCATGAACAGTCCATATTATATTTTGTATATTTAAATGACAAATTTTCAGTAGGGTAGTAGCTTTTCATCTTTAAAGGATAGAATACCTTTATTTTATTTACTTAATTATTTTTGTGATGCTGTAAATTAAACCAAGGGCCTTATGCATGCTAGGCAAGCACTTTATCACTGAGCTACATCCCTATCCAGCCCTGGAATGCCATGATTACAGGGAATAAAAGCACATTATAAAGTATGTAATCTCTTTTAACACTCTATGTAATAATTGAAATGAAGTAATAAAAATACAGGGGCATCTACTTCTAATTTCAGAACAGTTTGTTTTCATATTACTCTTGTTCTTTTCCCTTGTTAACCCTTTCACCATATTTTCATAAACATTGTTATTTCTGTCTTTTAGTTTAAGTATTATTTTGATTATCAAATCTTAAATTTAAAATGTGAAGAAAAAAACCATAAACCTATTCTTTTCTCTAACAAATTCTGGTCTGAGTTCTGCCAAAAACATCTAGAAGTTGTTAAAAATAGCACAGTTCTTTATTTGGACTCAATTGACTGGTACTTCTGCGGACCTGTAAGAATGTTAAATAATAAATTGTTTTCTCTGAATAGATTCTTCCTTGCCCAAGACACAGTTGAAAAAAACTTGTTTTAGATGAGTCATTCAAATGGAATAATTTTCCTTTGGATTACTAGAGTCATTAAGGAAAAAAAAAGCATGTGAGTAATTTTCCATGTATCTAGGGTTCAATATCTCAAATGTTTCACTGGCCTTCTGCATCACAAGGCAGTTTATTTAAAATTATAAGTCCACCCTCCCCTCTGCTTTACCATGTCTCTTCCTCTTTAGCAGCCAAAGGCAGGCTCATCAATGAGGAACAGTGTCAGCCAATGTCCCTTGTGCTTTTGTGTCATCATTCTGAGCTAGGAACAAGCATGTCTGAAAGAGCCAATGCAGAGAGCCCTCTTCCTCCTTTCTTTCCATCGTCATCCTCACATTTTAACAACCACAATCATAACGAAAGTTATTAACTACAATCAAAGCTGCATGTGCACAATACAAAGGTACAATTTCTGTTGCTACACAGAGTTACAGCCAAATAGCCACCCACACAGTTGGTTCTGTTAACTAGGAGGGAAAGGGAATGTTGCTTTGGCTGGGGGAGGAGGGGAAGGAAGGAAGAGGAAGAACCCTGTGTTTGAGGGGAGTGTTCCAATTGAGAAAATCATTTCTCATCCTCTCTAAGGATCAGGTGAACTACAGGAATAGGAGAGCATGGTGTTCGTGACCTTTGCCAGAAATTGCAAGGAGATCGTGACACTCATCTAGAGGAGCAGTGCCCTGCATGGAGATCTCAAGCTTTGTTTTTTTGGTAAAGGAGACATTTCTGAAAAATGTATAGCCAACATTTCTACCATTCACCTGTCTTGCTATTGATGCTTTGCTAGGGAAATTTGATCAATATATTAGATTCCTAGCAGGAAGATACTATCGGACAACTCACATATGCTTGACATAGCTCAATTTCCATCCATCCAAGAAGATATTGATTTTTCTCTCACGGAAGTGCACACACACATACAAAGAGCTCTTACAGAGGATGGGGGTTGGGCAGGCACTTATTCAAGAACAGATAGCTCTGCCATTCCCAAATGCATTCAAAATATCCTATGGCTTAGTGACTTAATATTTGGATGATCTATACAAATTCCTCATATCAGGAGTAAATCAATGACTGATGAGCAATAATAGTATTTTTATGCTTGCTTTTTTTTTTCTTTCAGTACTGGAGGTTGAACACTGGGACTTTGCATTGAGCTACATCTCTGGCTTTTTTAAAAAAACTATTTTTTATTTTGAGACAGGGTCTCTGGCTAAGTTGCCCAGGCTGTCCTTGGACTTGTGATCCTCTTGCCTCAGCCTTCCAGAGTACTTATCTTCACTCTTTGGATGCTAAGAACCCTATCAGATTCATAAACATTTCAGAATATGTGGCCCTCCTTAAAATCCTAAAATTACTTCCTATGAAACACCTTCCTGAAGCTACATTTTCCTAACTCTAGAATTAATTTTACACTACTAGATCACAGCCTTCTCACCTCATACCTGGGGACATAATTTTTTTCTTGTTTCTGTTTGTCTCTTTCTAACTTAGATCATTGTGACAATCACTCAGACTACTCACAGAATATTTCCAGCTCTTCTCCCAGATTCACAGTAGGCTTATACTCCCTGATTCCTCTCTGGTTGGCCATGACTGGGTTTAAACAGTGAGTTGTGTGAGCAGATATAATCTATGTCATTTCCAGGTTGAGGTTCAGTTGTTAATGAGAGATCTTCCAGGTGTCTCTTTTCTCTAAATATGAGGCCAGAGTTCACACCTCACTGTGATAGGCTCTCTGAGGAAGGACACTAATACCAGGCTCCCATGAAGGCCCACCCTTCATGGTTAGAATTGGGCATCTGAAAAGAGAACAAAATAGGGGTGAAGTTATCCAAGGGATGAGGGAAAACAAAGATCAATCCTTTTATGACCTAACCTAGGAAAGCACCATCTACCAAGAGTCACCTTAATTTGTGTTCTTCAGCAATTTCTGTATCTTACTGTAAAAATGGGATGAGATACCCCAGTCTTTTCAGGGACTTACCTAAATGTAGATTCTGCTTTATATTCCCACAAAGACTTTCTTCAACTCTGGTTGTTGTTAAATTCTATACATTTCTAAGTTAGAGGTGGTTGCTAAGTTTTTATAAAGTATATACAAAAGCATATATATATATAAACTATATATTTTTTCAATTAAAACTGCTGTATACCCATGTACTCAGATATAGGTCCATCTAGGGGTCTTCAAAAAAGAATCTTCTACATTTTGTTATTGAAATGGTATAATTTGAATAGAATGAGTTGAGTAGAATATGATCTGAATGAGTCAAGTGAATAGATGTTACATGTAGTAATTCCACATGTGTTTTTGGATGTGATCAGATGCTGATATCAATGAATACATTTATTTAGGATTTAAGTTATGTTAAAATAGAGAACTCTATAATGCATGCACAGAGATATAATCTTATGACTGTTTTATAGATTTTCACACTACCTAGAACATAATAGGTGCTAAAAAGTTATTTGAATATGGGAGAAAATGATCATATAGTGAGTTGTCATTTCAAATAATTTAGGGAAAATGGGCAAAATAACTACCTATACATTTGGGGAAAAAATTTAGGTAAATCCCAACCTCACATTGTACCCCCAAAATAAACCACAATTGTATTAAAAGACTAAATATAAAAACAGTTGTAGAAGCATCAGATTAAGATATAGCATACCTTTATACTTTTGAGGTTGGAAAGACTTCCAAAACAAGGCATAAGCATTGACACCATAAAGGCAAATATTGACATATTAAACTTCACAAAAATGAAGAACTTCAGTATATCAGAAGATATCATTAACAAAATTAAAGGCAAGAACCAAAGTGAGGAAAATATTTTCAAAATGTATAATAAAATGTTAGTAACTACATATAAAGCTTACAAACCAATAGAAATGTGTATTTTAGACATAAATATTTCACAGTAAGAGAAATATATGTAGTCAATTAACCTATTAAAATACACTTACCTTCAGTTGTAATTAGAGAAATGCAAATCATAGCAACAAGATGCCATTCTTATCTATGAAATTGGCAAAATTAATAATTTAAAAAGCTTAATAATTTCCAGAATTGGCCAAAGTATAGGGAAATGTATTCTTCTTCCTGCTGGTATAATCTTATTGGAAGGCAATTAACAATGTCTTTCAAAATTATAAATATAGATATATTGAAATAAAAATTCTATTTCTAGCTTACATAAAAATTTACATGTAATATTAACAACATTCATTGAATACATACAGTGTGTAAAGTAACTGGTTTGTTTATATTAACCATTTATACTGAAAGATAAGTACTATTCTTGTCCCATTGTCCAGCTGAGGAAACAGAAGCATAGAGGGGCTAAGCAAGATGCATACATTAACAGAGCTGAAAAGAGGCAATGCAATGATTCAGATAGAGTGCCTATTTCTCAAAGAAATATGCTTAGTTATTTATTTTCCCATTACTTATAATAAAAATGAATAAAATGTAAGCATTCATCAACAGGAGAAATAGTTATGTGACAAAATCAAACTATAGAATAAACCATAATATTAAGTGAAATAAATCAGACACATAGCTTAAATATCCATGATTTCTATTATATGAGAAACCTAGGGTAAAAATAAAGAGCAAAACAAAAGATAGATAATAGGAAGAAGGGTGGTAGATAGCTTTCAAAGGGGAATGGGATCAAACCATCATGTATTGCAAACATGTACAAAAAAAATCAATGGGATCAAGAGATAGATGGAAGGAGGGAGGGAGGGAAGGGAAAGGGAATAAAAAAAGGAATTGAGATGTATTATATACAACATGACTAATTTCCCCCCTGGAATGTAAATATTATGCATCACACACATGTACTAATAAACTAAACTAAACTGAAAAAGAAGAAAAGAATGAATTAAAAGCATACAGTCACATAAAAATGTATAGAATGCTTATATATTGGTTATTCGCATAACCAAAAGAAGGACAAAACCTAAATGTACATCAACTGATGAATGGATAAACAAAATGTAGCATATACTTATAATGGATATTGTTCAGCTATAAAAATGAGTGAAGTACTGTTACATGCTATAACATGGATGAACCTTGAAAACACATCAAGTAAAAGAAAGCAGACACAAAAGGCCACATATTGCTTGATCGTACTTGTATGAAATGTTCAGAATAAGTAAACCCAGAGGCAATTGTTTAGTAGTTGCCAGGAGGGTGAAAGAAGAGGGGAATCAGGACTAAATACTAATAGGTATAAAGTGAGATGACTAATTTTACAGGTCAACTTGACTGGGTTAAGTGCTGCCCAGATAACGAATTGAAACATTATTTCAGTCTCTGAGATGTTACTAGAAGCAATTCATACTTGAATCAGCAGACTGAGTGAAGCAGATCTGCTCTTACCAACACGGGCAAATATCATCCAATCCAATCAGGGACAGATGAAACAAAAAGATGGAATAAGGACAAATTCACTCTCTCTCTCCGCCCTCTTCTTCTCCCTCTTCTCTCTCCTCTCTTCTCTCTCCTTCTCCCCCCGCCCCCCCACCCCCGCTCCTGGCGTTAGAATATCCATCTTCTCCTGCTCTCAGATAGTGAAGCTCCTAGTTTTGTGGCTTGTAGCCTTCAAACTCTAGGATTTACACTAATGATAGCTCCCTCAGTTCTGAGGCCTTTGGCCTCAAGACTGAATCATACCCAAGCCTTCTTGATTTTCCAGCATGCAGATGGCATTCTTTGGAACTTCTCAGGCTCCATGATTTTGTAAGCCAATTTCTAAAATAAATCATCTTTTATTTATAGCTACATATATATGTGTGCCTATAAATCTGTATCTCTATCCATATGTATCTATAACTATATCTGTATCTGTTCTATTAGTTCTGTTGCTCTGGAGAGACCTAATATGTGTGCTGCTTCCTTTTTTGTCCATGCTTTTTTTTGTGCAATGGAAATGTTCTGAAAATAGGTAGTGGTGCTGGTTGGACAGTAGATAGTACACTAAAAATAATCAATTGTACACTTCAAATGATGAATTTTATGTTGTATAAATGACATTTCAATTTTTAAAAAGAATAGAGTATGTATATTTGTACTGATACAGACAAATATTAAGTGAAAAAGCAAGCCTCAAAACATATAGATAATATGCTCACACATATGAAAGGGAAATGATAAATGTACTTGTTAATGCATAGGGGCAAGTCAGAAAGAATACACACTAGTCCCTTAGCAGAGGCTTCCACCACAGAGAAAATGTATTAAGGAAACAGAAGAGAAAGGGAGACTCACTTTCTACTCTGCATACTCCTGTTGTGGATTTCCTTACAATAAGCACATATTGCTTTTATAATTTTAAAAGTGATAAAAATGAAAGCAAAAGCATTTAAATAAAAATAAATGAGTAAACAAAAATAACCTCTGAAAATAGACCATAGGCAAAATCAAATGCAATGGGAAAGCTGGGGACTTACAGCTAAGAGGCAGAGGTTCCTGGCCCAACTTTAGCTTAATGACCTGTGCCTCTCTGGTCCTCAGTTTCCTTGTGTGTTAAGCAACTGACTGGACTAACTGACAGCCACAAAGCTTTCGGCTCTAAGATCTTTGGATTCCACAATAGTCCATTCTCCTTTGCTTTGTTGCCAAGGTTACTTACAGCTCCGGCCTTTCAGACCATATTTTAGAAAAGACAGCAAATATGGTCATGAATTTACATAATTCCAAGAGCATGACCTTAGGGGAAAAACATCATCAATCTCATTGTCCAGTTTCTGCTTAATTGTGACCCTGTTTGTTTTATTCATTAGTGGTTAGTCACATGAACCTTATGACTGAATGGAGTAATAAAATAATTCTTGGACAAAGAAGGTAATTGGCCAGACAGTTCAATTTTTTGTTTAATACATTGAAATCTCATTTCAGACATGTTATCCTGAAATAATTTATTTTCCTTTCATCATGTACATAACCTCTCAGTTGTCTTTTCATTAAAATCTGTTGGCCCTGGACAAAAGAAGTTAAAAGACAGAGAGAAAGAGGGACAATTGCCCTGGGAATTCAGGGGTACAAAAGAGGAAGGCTCAATTAAATACTGTACATAAGTGAATAAGCACATATGAGAGAACAAAGGACATTTCTGTCCCCTTCTCTACCAGCTTTACAGCTCCTCTGCTTGGTGGTTTGCCCCCTGGGGTACACAGTGGAGATTATTCACACAACTGAAGGGCCCAGAGAAAGATCCTCCAGAAGCAAAAGTTTCCTTTCCAACAGGTATACCAACACTGTCAAACAGTGCTAGCCCATAGATACTTATAAAGTGCCAGCATTTTGTCTTGTCCTATCTTCCATGGGAGACAACTGAAGTGCAGTAAAAAGAAACTTAATTTTGCAGTCTGTAACACCTGGGGCCATGTCCTGTCTCTGCCACTTACTATCTTTGTGACTTTGTAAAAGCTATTCCCCTCCCCCCCAAAAAACTGGGATTCCTATAAGGTTAAGCAGGATAACATATACAAAATGCCTATTACAGTGCCTGGCCCACAGAGGCAATGACTAAGAGACATACTTGTTTTTCACCTCTAAATTTCTAAAGGACATAGGATTTGAGTTTTGGCCTAAGTGGGCCTAAAGATTGCTTTATCAAGATTTCTGAAAGTAATGGCATATCCACTTAATAAATAACTTGATATTTTTAATGACACATTTTCCTGCTTTTTGAACAAGAGTCCCCATATTTCCATTTTGCATTAAGTCCCAGAAATCATTTGCCACCCCTGAGAATGTGTCAAAGCAGCTGTGTTCTCTTGAAAC